CACCGCCTTCCTGCATGACTCTGCCCCGTCTGCTCCCAAGGGCAAGGGCTGGGTCTGCCAGATCTGACGATATACACACCCCCGCCTACCCGGGCATTTCCTCCAGGAAGCCCTCCCTGATATTCCCGGCTGACCACTGTCACTGTCTCTGCTGAGCTGCTAGCAAGCACCAGCCAGACTTGTTCTGGGCTCATTCAGCAGTGAACAAAACTCTCCATTCACAGCTGCTGACATCCTACAGGGACATCCCTGGGGGCTCTGGGACCAGGACACGTACCCAGGCCTTGGTGAGCCCAGTGAGTACGGGGAAGCAGATGGCCTAGGCGGGCAGGTGGACGGAGAGGCTTGTGTTCCTCCCACTCCCCACTCCCTCGGGGCAGGTGTTGTCTCCACACACACAACAGGAGTCCCAGCTACCCTCACTGGGTCGATCACCTGCCCACCCAGCCGGTGGCTCCCAGCAGTGGCTGGGCTAGGTGCTGGGTCACGGTACAGCAGGTTTAGGGGACCCCGCAAGTCCCAGGACCGAGGTCACACCTCCCCTGTGGGGGTGGGGTGCCTGTCAGGCAGCCATGCAGACAGCAGCCAGGTGCGGCAGCTCCAGGAACCAGCCTGGCTGGTTTGGGCTCTGGTGGGGGAGGACTGGGCAGCTCTGGCCAGCTCTAGGAACCTAGGTCTGCAGAGGAGGGCGGGGGAGGCTGCACTAGCTCATGGGGCTCACTGCCCTTCCCTTTTCCCCCGTCTCTGAAGCCACAGGGGCCAGGGGGCAAACAGTGGCTGGACGGCCCTGGAGGCCACCCCTTCCACACCACGCTCACACGCTGTTCAAAACGACCAAGGGCAGCACACCACACACCTGCACCTTGCCCCTCTCAAAAGCACGGCCGGCTCTCGGCAGGAGTTCGGTAGCATCCAGTCAAGTGGAAGGCACACTTGGGACTTGGCAAGTGCTCTCCTGGGAATGACAGGAGCGTGGGGCCCAGGAGCGTGTGTGGGAAGGCTGGAAACGAGACACACGCTCATCCACAGGGTACGGCGAGAGAATAGTGACCCACCGGCCCGGGGGCGGCACCCGGCCGACCAGAAGGAGGAGCAGCTGCAGCTGCCCGGCTGGAATCAGCACTGACGCCAAACAGCAGCAGCCACACCACACACGCCAGGGCTCTGATCAGCCTCAGCCCAGTCCCAGGCAAAACAAAACAAGGATGTTTCCCGACGCACAGGGAGGGCGGGGCCGGGAGTTTCAGGGATGGGGTGGCTGGCACCCCGTTTCTCCTCCCGGAGGGTGGTTGCGTGCGTAGGTTTTCCATTTACAGCATTAGGCATCACCGCACGTGTTACGTCCCGTGCACCTTTCAGTGCGGAGTCCAACCACTGACAAGTACGATTTTACAGAACATATGCACACGTCCGTCTGTCGCAGCGAGCATCCCTGCCGCCCTACTGCTGTGGCGGCCATGTGGCAGGGCCCTGACGCCCGAGCCCACCCCCACAGGGCCAGGGCAGTGGCTTCCAGTCTCTGTGAGTACAGACGGGCAGCTCTCATCTCCCCGGGATGTGAGCACGTCTGGGTAAATGCCCAGAAGTAGAACTGCTGACAAAGGCCACCGGGCCAAGGGGCCCTGTGCAAGGGCTGCCCGCCCCCACCCCTCAGCCTCCCAGCGCAGCGCTGCCACTCCACTCGGATCTGCAGGCAGGTCTGAAGTCCCACCCTCCCAGCCCCGTTTCCATCTGCGCCCTCTTATCTGGAGCAACCATCAGCATGTCCTCTTCCGCTAAGTGGCTATTCCAAGTCTTTGTTGTTTCTGCTGGGTCAGGGAGGCCTTTGTAACCTAATCTGACCGCGTCCCTGTCCCTCTCGCTGCACAGCCTAAGCTACCTCCTCGCTAGGGCCCCAGGCCTTGTCCACAGCTCTGTCCTCACATCCTCCCGTCACCTGCTCCAACCCCACGCAACTGACTTCCCTCACTCAGGGAATTCACATCAACAAACCCAATCCAATACGTGCCCACGCTGCCCCGGCTGGGGGCCCCGCTCGTTCCCTTTCCTGTGGACTTAGAACCAGACCTGGCACAAACAGAATGGACAACTCCAGCTGACGCAGGCCGGCTGCAGGGATGGGCAAGGAGCCAGTCTGAGGTGGGCGCCGTGGACAGGCCCGGGGAGTGACAGAACCCTGGCTTCCCACGGGGCCTGAGCAGGTGCGGGTGCAAGCACCAAGCACGCAGCCCCAGTCCAGACAGCCGGCGACGGCAGCCAGGCTGGCAGGAGCGGGACAGGGAGGCTCAGACCGTGTTCCGTCGCCCGAGGACAAGCAACAGGGGAAGAGCAGTCAGGTGCTGCAGCTGAGGGTGAGGCAGGAGGCAGGGACGGCTCAACAGGGCCGACCGCGGCGGCACGCTCCACACCGCGGGCCTTCCGCGAGCTCCACCGGAGCGGGAGGACTTGGGCTGCCCAACAGTCAGGCCTGTCCCCAGCTATGGCACTCAAGACACTGGGGGTAAATAGGGGTCAGTGGGCCCAAAAGGAGACCCAGGAATAGACCCACTGTGGCTTTTTTTTTTTTAAGGTTTATTTATTTATTTGAAAGTCGGAGTTACACAGAGAGGAGACGCAGAGAGAGAGAGAGAAAGAGAGAGGCCTTCCATCCCACTGGTTCACTCCCCAATTGGCCGTAACGGCCGGAGCTGTGTTGATCCGGAGCCAGGAGCCAGGAGCTTCTTTCAGGTCTCTCACATGGGTGCAAGGGCCCAAGGACTTGGGCCATCTTCTACTGCTTTCCCAGGCTGTAGCAGAGAGCTGGATCGGAAGTGGAGCAGCTGGGACTTGAATCGGCGCTCACATGGGATGCAGGCACTGCAGGCGGCAGCTTTACCCGCTACGCCACAGCACCCGCCCCGTGGATTTTTTAATTGTAAACATTCACGTCTTTCAAAGGATTTTTCATTTCACTTGAAATGCAGCGAGAGACCTTCCTTCCACTGGTTCACTCCCCAAATGGCCACAGTCGCCAGGGCTGGGCCAGGCTGAAGCCTGGGTCTCCCACGTGGGTGCAGAGGCGCAAGCACTCGGGCAGCAGTCACGGTGCTCCGTGCTCGTCAGCGGGAAGATGGGATGGAAGCCAAGACAGAGTCTGCACCGGGCTGTCCGATATGGTGTGTGGAAGCTTACCTGCTGCGCCGAAAGCCTGCCCCGACCCACTGGGTTTATAAAAATCTGATGTTTTCACTGTGATAAAATATATATATTTATCATTGTAATCATTCCTAAGTATACAGTTCAGTGGCTTTAAACAAATTCACAGTGTTGCATAATTATCACCAGCATCATATACTCAAACCTTCTGATCATCCCTAACGAAAACTCAGTACCCAGGGGCTGGTGTTGTGGCACAGTGAGCTAAGCCACCACCTGTGACACCAGCATCCCATATCAGAGTGCAATTTGAATCCTGGAGGCTCCACTTCCGATCCAGGTCCCTGCCGATGTGCCTAGGAAGGCAGTGGACGATGGTCCAAGCGTCTGGGCCTCTGCCACCCACGTGGGAGACACCAAAGGAGTTCTAAGCTTTTGGCTTCAACTTGACCCGACCCCAGCTGTTATGGCCATTTGGGGAGTGAACCAGCAGATGAAAGAGCTCATTCTCTCTTTCTGCCTTTCAACAAACAAACAAAACTAGTACTCATTAAAGAGTGCCAGCCCCGTCCCCATCCGGTCCTGGTCCCTCGGCCCGTACTCTCTGAGCCGCCGTGCTCGCCACCTCACATGGCGGACCCGGTCAGTGCTACCCTGCTGTGTCCGGCTGAGCTCACCAATCTGTGTTCCAGGCCTGCCCGTGCTACAGGGCCAGCAGGCTTTCTCCCCAGAACTCCCGCTGCTGCTCAAGCTCTGCTGTCCTGACGGCTGACGGGCTAAGGACGGAGACTGAGCTAACGACGGGGTCTGGGGGGCTGGCGGGGGGTCTCTGGGTAACTTGCCCTTGGAAGGTGCTCCTCCACAGAGATGGGTCTGAATTTCGGAGTTCAAGTTCGGCCTTGTTTCTCCGTCTCCTTCCTGGCTCACCACGTGATTGTGCCTCTGTACCCACCACGAGCAACAGACTCCAGCCTACGGGGCCCCCGATCCTGTAACCCCCACTGGAAGCAGAAACAAACCTTCCCATGCCCAGGGGAGCTCCTCTGGGTCTTTTCATTAAAGCAACAAAACGGACAACAGAAACCCACAATGGTATCTCTCGAAGCTTCGTTTCCCTTCACGGCTGCCCAACAGTCCCGGCGTGCGACGTCACGCTCCCTTCCCCTGTTCCCCTGCTGGGGGGCCCTGGGCAGCTCCCACCCTTTGGCTCCATGAACAACACCGCTACGGAGGGTGGGCACACGTGTCTGTTCAAGCCACTGCTTTGCCGCCCTGGCTGTACTCTTGGGAGTGGAACTGCGCATTCAGAAAGCCATTTCGCGTGTAACCTGAGACTGCCAAACTGTTTCCTGCAGCGGCCACAGCATTTTACCTCCCCACCAGCAGTGCTTGGGGTTCCAATTTCTCCACAGCCACTCCAGCAGGTGGGAAGCGGTGCTTCCTGGGGCAGCTGATTTTGGAGGGAGAGGCACTGGCGTTTCAACAAGCAGTGCTGAACAGCTGTACCACCGCTTCTGACACAGAAACTCACAAGGCTCCTGCACTTATAGGTGCAATGTCGAAAAACTTTTAGGAAAAAAATGCAATAGGAGAAAATCTTCAGAATCTAGGTCAAAGTACAGGGTTTTTAGTTTTGACACTAAAAGCACAATCCAAACAGGAAAAATCAGCAAAGTATCTTCATCAAAACTAACAGCGTTTGCCCTGTGACAGTCCCTGAGAGCAAAGGACAAGCCACAGACGGGGACAAAACACAAGCATCTGACACAGGACCAGCACAGGAATAGAGAACTGCCCACACACGGCAGTGGGAAGCCGGGTGAGCCAGCGAGAGCACAGGCAGAAGACACAAAGAGAAACCTCACTGGGGCGAAGCCCAGGTGGCGGATAAGCCCGGGAAGGTGGTCGACATCATCGCCATTAGAGAGATGCAAGTGAAAACCGCAAGGAGCTCTCGCCACACACCATCAGAAGAGCTAAAGGGAAAATAGGGACACGATCAAATGCTGGTGAGGATGCGGAGAAACTGGGTCGCACAGGCTGCTGGTGGAACACACGACGGCCCCCTCCGGAAAACAGCCAGGCGACGTCCGTGAACCACGCAACCAGCACACTGCCCGGCAGCTGTATGTCTGCGTATTTGTCCCAGAGAAACAGGAATTCATGTTCACATGAAAACTCACATGTCAATGTTTACACAAGCTGTATTTGCAATAGCCAAAAGCCAGAAATAACCAGATGGCCTTGCTGGGTAACAGGTGCCTCTCCGTGCACCCAACTGTCTGGAGGGATCTCCAGATTACACCAAGTGAAAAAGCGCACCCCGAAAGGGCACACCCAGAGTGACTCCACTTCCATAACATTCCTGAGAGGACAGAATTCTACCCCCCGCCCCCACAGATGCGTGTAGACACGTGGCTGGCAGGGGAGTGTAGACACATGGCCGGCAGCGGTGAGGGATGGCAGGGAGGCCCGCAGTGGCAGTGCCTGTGCGATTCTGCTCTACGCTGGCGGCACTGGGCGCACACAGAGGATGTGCCCGACCCTGTACTGTCTCCTACGATGCACGCGCACCTGCAACTGCTTCCTGAACCCCACGCGGACTGCTGTGCCCTGGGTGCTGAGCGCCCCCCGCAGGTGTGCGTGTTAAAGGCCTGTCTCCACGGCGCTACTCCTGGGAGGAGGGAGGGCCCAGAGGGTCACTGGGGGCAGGCCCTTGGCAAAGCAGTTCCCGCGGAGGGCGGTTAGAAAGCCCGAGCTGGGCGCCCACTCTCCGTCTGTTCCCTGGCTGCCGTGGGGTCCGCCCTCTGTGCTACTGTACCACCTGCCACCCACCGTGAGACCCCGGACCACCAAGCCCGTATCCTGCCGTTTGGACTTGGAATCGCCAACACGTGAGCCTCTCTCTTTGCCACCCGCGTAGCCTGTCTCAAGTATCTCACTGCAGTAAGGAAAAGCTAGCTTCCATGTATTTAAAAACATCAATAATTTCTGAAAAATGCCAGCCTATCCCCATCTTTGAGCCCTTGAACGTGCTGTCGGCTCTCCTGGGAGCACAGCCAACCCTGCTCCTGTAAGGCCTCGGCGCACGTCTCCTCCTCCAGCAAGCCCTCCCTGATTTCCAGGCTTCCCACCGCCACCTGGCCTCCCCGCATCAGAGATGTCACGCTGGGGCCTGTGCTTTCCCCAGGTCACTCTAGGCTGTCACTGTGCGATGCTGTGTGGCCCACAAGTCCCATGAGGTCAGGGCCTCCACCGTCTTGTTAGGCTGAACTCACAGGAGACACCCAGCAAACAGCTGCAAAACCAACGAACACCCCAAGAATGGTGCCCGTCAGAGGAGGCTTCGGGTGCCATTATCCTTATGAGTTCCATTTTACATATGCGAAGCCGAGGCTCAGAGGTGAGACTGAGGCTACCATATACCAACTGCACCCAGCTAGAAGGGCACAGAGCCCGGCGGTGGCAAAGCAGGGCAGCCGGGTCCAGAGCCTCAGGTAGTAACCTCCACCCCAGAGGCCTCTGAAGAAGTTTGGATGATTCTGGCAAACGAGACGGGGGTCGGGAAGAGAAGGGACCCTCCCACCCCAGCCCCTATCCCATTCCTTCCTCCAGGAAGGCCCGCAGCACAGAGGGCCTGCGGTGGGCACCATGGGGGGAGCTGGCGAGCCAGCGGGGCTGCAGGCAGGGGCTGAGGGGCCCAGGGCACCTCCCAGGGCTCCCCAGGGCTGGGCTGCTCCCACCAGGCCCGGGGGCGGGCACTTGTGAGCAGTGTTGGGAGCATTCCCATGCTCGGAGAAGCTTTAGGGCCAACTGCAGCCAAGCACCGCGGGTCTCCCGCCATCGCCAAGTGGTGCAAAACCTCACAGGGTAAGACTGGACGCTGCTCAGGAGGCAGATAAGGGCCAGCAAGTGTTTGTCCTTTGGCTGGGGAGGGGGTGAGGTTGGGGGGTGTCTCAGCAAGTAATTCTCTATTCTCTTGGGGGCACCCGAAACCTTTCCTAACTTACAGAACAGAAGACCACCGGGAGCAGGAAGCCGGGGCTGCGTGGAGGAGGGCCTGGCGCCACCTGTCTCCTGGCCTGGGCGGGAGCACACGGAGGAGCCATATAGTCAGTCACGAAGCTGAATGGGGCAGTGCCAAGCCCCTTTCTGTACCTGCCGGATGCCACACCAGCGCGCAGGAGAGACAGAGACGAGCGTTCCTGACAACGGGGGCCGTCTCTGTGTCTGCGTGCCCTGCAGTCTCTCCCCTCGCTCGCTCTTCCCCACAAGCACACACGCTCCTGTGCACCCACACTCTGCCCTCCCCTCGAGGCTGTGGCTGCCACCGTGCTGTCCACCTCCTCTGCTTCTGCCAGGACAAAGGCCCGGGCTCCAGGCCTCTGCACGCTGGGGTCCTGCTCAAATCACACTCTCCAGGGAGGCGTTCTAGCCCGGGACACACAGTGGGAAGAGTTACTACAGACGGTCCATACTACTGCACCCGTGTGGGAGACCCGGAAGAAGCTCCAGCTTCCTGGCTTTGGTGTCCCCTGAGCAAGGACAGTCCCTGGCGGGATCAACAGTGCCTGTGCTGGACACCCCGGACAGGGAGAACAACAGGTGGGGACACGAGGCTAACGCAACCCCAGACAGGGAGGGCACTGTCCACGCGTGTTCTGCAGAGCAGGGGAGCGCGTCCGGCAGAGGGGAGGGGCCAGCCCAGGCTCACTCAGCCATACTGGGCCAGGATCCCACCATGGGCCTGACCCTGGCCAAGTCCTCTCCCTTCACCAAGTCATCCTTGCATTTGTTCACGTGCTCACCAGCTCTGTTCGGTGGGCTCAGAGGGTGCCACGGCAGTGAGTAAGAGAGCCCCCGTCCTCCTGGGGGACAAGACAACTCCCAAGCGGAGAGGGCACGGCTGGGAGCCAGGAACCCTGTGAGGAACAGGGAAGAGGAGGAAGGACCAGCGAGAAGGCCAGCGGGGGAGCTGAGGGCTGGAAGTGAGGGGCGGGGGGAGTAGCAGGAGACCCGGCAGCTCCCCCCCCCCAGGGCCCTCATCACAGCCTTCTGAGGAGTGCGAGGTCACTGTAGCTGGGTACAAAGCCACCCAGGGCGGCACTGCTGGGCAGGGAGACACGGGGAAAGAAGCCCCTTTTAGTTAGGGGACTGTAGTCCTAGCAAGGCAGGAGCAAGGCTAAGAGTTAATGATGGGGGTGGCGCTGTGGCGTAGTGGGTAAAGCTGCCTGCAGCACCTGTATTCCATGTGGGCGCTGGTTCAAGTCCTGGCTAATCCACCTCCAATCTAGCTCTCTGCTAATGTGCCTGGGAAAGCAATGGACGATGGCCCAAATGCTTGGGCCACTGTACCCGCGTGGGAGACCCAGAAAAAGATTCAGGTTCCTGGCTTTGGATCAGCCTAGTTCTGACCATTGCAGCCATTTGGAGAGTGAAACAGCAGATGGAAGGTCCCCACCCAGCCTCTCTGTAACTCAGCCTTTCAAATAAAATAAGTAAATCTAAAAAAAAAAAAAAAAAGGAGTTAGTGATGGCGGCTGTGGGCCGCTGGTCCGGCACACATAGCCCTTGGCTCCCAGCCCAGGCCCTCAGGTCTCTCTGGCCCCACTCCTGCTGTTCCTGGGGAGCAGCCTCACTGGCAGCGACGTCAGAGTTTTCTTTCATTCCACTCTTTCACTTTACTTATGTGACAGGCACAGGGAGATTATCCACCTACTCTCTCCCCAAACACCCACGACAGCCAGGGCCGTCAGGAGTCACGAACTCAACCCAGGTCCCCCAACGCAGGTGGCAGGGACCCAAACGCCTGAGCATCACCTGCTGCCTCCCAGGGCGCACTAGCCTGAAGCTGGAATTGGAAGCCAGAGCCAGCCCTCGAATCCAGGTACTCGTCCCAGGTGGCACCGTCTCTATCTTCTCCCACTTAGGTGCTTGGATTTTAAAAGTTAACTTGACAATCACACAAACATCAGGCACACCCTGGTGCTCAGACACAGCAGCACCATGAAAGGATGGGACCCGAATCAGAGCCCAGCTCACAGGAGCGACCCCACGGCGACGGCTCCAGGCTGCGTGCCGCTCCCCAGCACGGATGCCCACGTCTGCACAGCCAGCCGTGCGACAAGCTGCCGGACAGCCTACAGGTCAAAGGTGACAGGACAGGTAGACAAACTGAGACTGGCTCAGAAGCCCCCGGGGCAGGCATGAGGACGTGGAGGGATTCCCGCTGAAGTCTGTCCTGCGGCAACACGGTGGATGGGATCTTGGCTGAGACAGTCGGGGGTGTGGATGCAGATGACAAGGCCTTGCCATATGGGGCCCCGCTGGAGTTGGGCACAGACGGCGAGCGCGTCCTGAGCGCATGCAGACCCTTCCACGGCACAGAGGCGCCGGGCGCTTTCCAGAAGGAAAGGAGACCTCATCACGACAGCGAGGAACTCTGGCTCGGCTACCTGTGAATGCCCACGACTGAGCCCAAGCCCAGCCCTGCCCCCACTGCTGCCTGTGAATGCCCACGACTGAGCCCAAGCCCAGCCCTGCCCCCACTGCTGCCTGTGAATGCCCACGACTGAGCCCAAGCCCAGCCCTGCCCCCAATAGCTGCACGGTCTTAGCAGCCGGCCCACTGATCCCGCAGCAGGCCCTGGGAGGCTGGGGTGGCTTCACCCCCCTTTTCTCGACACGCAGGGACTCAGAGAGGGCGGCAGGGGGCAGGTGAGCCGCTCTGCCAGCACTGGCTATCACTCCCCTCCTGCCCATCCGGACGGGCCTCCCGACCAGGTCGTACAGCCAGCCTCAGCGTCAGCCAGACGCTGTGCCCTCCTCTGTGCCCCCCACCCCAGGTGCCGGGAGCCCCGGGGAGGCCCTGAGGTGACCTCAGCATCCCCCCCACCTGAAGAACGGCCTCGGCCTGCAGAAACCATCTCCCCTCTGTGGCTGCAGCTGGATCCTGCCTCAAACCGAGAAGCGCAGGA